TCCCACGGAGCCGCCCCCAAGCCTGCAAGCACCAAGGGGCTCCAGCACTCGGGAATAAAACCCTTGTGAGGAGGATGCACTCAGCATCAGCTCTGCCGAATACTGGCCAAGGCAGCACAGGAACGGCAGCCTTTTCGCAGCCCTCCGGCTCGGTTCCGTGAACACAAGGCCAAGGAACAATAGTTTGCACCTGGAGCCCCGTGAGCCAGAGCGGCTGGGGCAGCCCGCAGAAAGCAGGGCCAGCTGGGCAGCTCCTCCCCTCTCGCAGCCCAAAACATGCCCTTTTCCTCCCATTCTCTCCCTCCTGCGGCCCCAGAGCTTTCTTTGCAGATGGGGGAAGCGACGCAGCAAGGAGCGACGGCGCAGCCCATGTGGCTCGCACCGCCCCCTTAGGGGCTTGACGGACATGAAGCCACGACCCCAAACCGCCAGGAACAGGGTCTAGGAGAGCTGCCCGCACTCTTCTCCCGGTGTGAAGCCATCGACCCCACCTGAGCGCCCCTGCTGCAGTGCGGAGGCCGCTGTGGGTCCCGGTCGGCTCCTCCCGCTCCCCGGAGGCGGGAGCACGGGCCAGAGGTCCGTGGAAAGGTGAGCCCTCTCGCTCGGGATTGCCCGAGGCCGAAGAGCTGCCGGGCGCGTAGGCCCGGCCTGACAATTCCACGTCCTGTTCTGCCCACATCTCAACTCCAGTGGCCCTCAGGAAGCCAGGAAAGAGAAGGAGAAACAGAGGCGCTCACGCCCCCTCAGAGGAAGCCCTGATGTAGGACACCATGGGTTACACCTAGGACCTCCATGGATTGTGTCACTGATACCAGAACAGAGCTGAACACCCAGGCCCCTGCACCCCAGCCCTGCTCTACCAGCCAGCTCTTCCCTACCACAATATCCCAACATGCCCTCAGGAGGAGCCATCTGCCCCAGCCTCAGCAGTGGTGGCTTCCAGGTCATGGGGAGACACCATTGCATGGCTGGGCCACGGGACACGTCGCCTCCCTCCATCTAACACATCAACGGTCAGGTCCCATGAAACTCCCGTCCCACAGCCGCTCTCTATCAACAGGACAACCCTCTTGGGTGGGGCTGGGCCCTTCAATGCCATCCCTGTGTTTCTGCGGTAATCAAGAGCCTCCTTCCACCCACATCCGTATAATAGGATTTTCCAGGCGAGGCGAGATGTGCCTCGCGGCAAGCGCGCCAAGCTGCTGGACTCGGCACCACCGCCGGCATGTGAGGTCATCCTGAGCCTCACGCTCACCAAGAGGGGTGCCAGCAGGCACGGACGCTCTCCGGAGCCTCTATCTATGCATCTGGCTCCCTTCCCTCTTCATCCTGTGCTGGCGCCTTCAAGGCACGGGTGGATCTGCCCAGCCAGCTGCCGGGGATGCCACCTCGCCTCCCCAAGCAGACACGCGGCCTCCTTCTGCCAGGACCTGCCTCTCCCTGCGTCCTTGGAGCCGAGGTGCCCATCGAGGGGGACACGTAGCACAGGCCCTGCTGGGAGCTCCAAGCTGGCCACCCAAGGGACCTCCTGCAGGTTACAGACACGCAGCACCCAAGGGAACAGGGCAGGCCCTAGTGCCCCAGAGGCGAGGGCTGCCCTTCCATCACCGGGACAAGCAGGGGAAGAGGCAGGAGGAGCGCGGAGAGCCCCCAAATCGGCCCCGTCTCGTTCCGCCGCCGCAGGGCGCCCAGCAGCCC